GGAAGTACCCACTGCTGAGGAGCGGAAAACGCCGCCGGCCGCGACTTTGCGCGGCCCCCGGTAGGGGGCAGGGACACCCCGCGCCGGCACCCAGCGGAGGCCACGCCCCCTGGCACCGGTGACCGTACACGGTGCCTGCTGCAGGGTGACACGGGAACGGCGAGATGCAGACTAAGAATAGCCATCGCTCTCTGGGGGAAAGGCTTCACGCCGCAGTCAAGCGGTTGACCAGGCAGCGCTGCTGCAACTAAGCAAAAGGTGAAGCAGCCAGTGAAAGGCCGCGCGGCACAAACACGCATTTCGCCCTGCTTCACAAACATCCCTCCATCGACTGCAAAATAACCGCCAAAAATGGACTGGCGCTAAGGATATCGAGGGATATCAGGTGTTTGTTGAGCTCCCCCCAGCAATATGCGATTGTAACAAGAAGCGTTGCTGTAGCGACCCCTGACACAAGACCGTGCCGCACGGATGTTCGGCTCCGCCCCCGAGCACGGCTGTCCGCTTCTGCATCCACCTGCGCAGCTTTCTGTGGGTATTCTAAGGCTTTGCTCTGATTCGAAGTGGAATCATTGATAGTTTGGAGAGAAAAAGGGAGAAATAAAACCCACACCTTGGCAGCAGGATTAGGGGACAATTCCATCAGTCTTGGGACTTTCTGAGCTCCAAACTTGCCCTTCCACAGGAATGAATGGTGTTGGCCAAGGAGCTTTAGAGATGGATTAGGCAAGATTTTACTGCTTCATAATCCAAGTCAAGCCCTCCTCCATCTTTCTCACTGTTTTCTTGAGAACCACTTCACCAGCTTGCAGAGGCACAGGAGTAGTGTCATCCATGACCTGCTTCTGGATTTTTTTTTACCATGGTAGTGGAAACAGGTGCAGCAATGACTTAGAAGCAAGCCGGCTGGGAAACTTGTGCTGGATAGAAGGGGCACTTAGGGCCACAGGAGGAGACACTAGATGCTACTCAGCTCTCCTGGGACTGTGTTAATAAACCTGGCATGAAAGAAAGACTAACACTTCAGGATAAAAAACAATATGTAGCTGGAAAGAGGAACATGCCCTTGGATACTAGAGTTTCGGGGGCACTAATGTTTAGAAAATTTGTGTTCCATTTGGCCTCAATCCCTTTATTTAATCCACCTCATTAATCCTTTTTAATTATCCACTTCATTGTTTAAATCCTCTGCTTACTGCTCAGCCTCAACACTCTTTTGTAACGTGTAAACTGCCCCAAATTAAGAACATCATGATCCAGAGCATGCTGTGAAAACCAGTAAAGATATAGTTAAGAGTTTCAAAGGTCATCACCAAGGATAATTTTTCAGAATGAACTGTACTCCTGTGCTATTTATATCACATCACAATAGTACAGTAGCCCTCGTGTGCAGCTAGTGAATGACAACACATGTCAGTGTCTTGGGCTTAATGGAAGAGGAAGGGGAGGGAGGAAAGAGGGCAGGAAAGGAAGCAGTGAGGTGCATAAATTTGTGGTGAATCAATGCTGGAACAGATAGGCTAATAATACTAAAAAGGAGATATTAGACATTTTTCATTATAATGCAGTAGGCCTGGTTGCATGCAGACCTGGGAGTTGTTCATTAACTGTTGTTACAATGAGAGACATCATTAGGCAATATACTAGGGAAAATTGTGAATTATCATAAATAATTAACACTAACCTACATTAAGTAAACCACATGCTGCCGTGCATTATCCTTGTCTTTCTGGCTGTTTTTTCCCCATTTTCAGAGATCTTTCCCTTGTTCTCATCCCAGGCCAAGGCACTGCTGAACTGCTGCAATCCTTCTGCAAAGGTGGATCTGAAGAAAGGGGAGAGGAAGGATTTAACATACTGTGTAAGTTCTCTACCCTGTAGCAAAGGAAGCGCATTTCAGGGCACAACGTGGGTAGGTCAGGAGAAGGACAAAAGTGTAGGTGCTGGGTGTACAGGTTTGTAACTGTCATTTCATGCTCCCGGTAGTGGCTCACAGATCCCTAAAACCACAAGACATGTGCTGTTTTCCCATTACTTACGCAGCAGTCTTACAGCTTCTTTTCCCTTATTGCACCCTCCATCTGCTCCCACTCCTGAGACTGAAAACTGCTAGGCAAGGATTCTCAAAATAGGTAGATGCACACTCCCCCACACACTCGTGTGTTGCTAGGAAGCTATGGGTGTGCAGCGCAGGAGGAATGCAGAGAAGAGATGAGAGGCAGCAGCATGCACAGCTGGAGCACAGATAGCCTTAGCCTCATTGAGATGCTTCAGCAGGGATCCCCAGAATAACAAAAAAGAGCCAGAAAGGGTGGCTGGGAGAGGGAAATTTGGCTTCAAGGTTCCCAGCAGTCTTCACTTGTTACTGTTGTTCTGTCTGCTGTCTCCTGGCTGGAGCCATCTGTTGCTCCACCTCTCGGTTCTGGTGCCCTGTCTTCTCTCAGCTGCAAGTTCTGCTCCAGTCCTGCCGTTCAGCGTCTGCTTTCACTTTGAGGACCCTGCTGCTCTCCTGGGGCACGTGTCTTATCAAGAAACATGGGTTCTTTCTTCCCTGGGACTCCTCAAGGGGTGAGGCCAATTACACAAACAAGTCATGGGGGTGACACCTGACTTGTGCTGTCTGGCAGAGAAAGGTTGGCAATTTGCAGTGTATTTTACAGACATTGGTGGGAGTATCAAATGAAGGCTTAATTCCAAAAGCTCTCCTGCAGCTTCTTGACACAAAGAATTAGCCTATGTGGCTAGAATCCAGATGTACAAACTTATCCACTGTTTAAAAGCATGGAAGTTCAATATGAGTGCACCACCAATCTTTCTTTGTCCATAGCAAGAGTCCCTTCTTTCAGTTTACTAACAGCGAGTAGCAATTTGTGCTCTGGGAAGCACTCAGCACACACACACAAAAAAACCAATTTCTTAGCTGCACACTTTGTAAGTGAGGGTTCAGTCCTGCAACCCTTGCAAATTACAAGTTGCACTTTGCTCTTGCTGTGAGCCCCTGGTAGGCGGGACAGTGGCAGATTCTGATGAGGGAAAACATAAGAAATCTGCAAATACCAAATATGCTATTCTTCATCACAGAGACACTAATTTCACTGCAATACTTAAGTTCAGATTTGCTGCTGCACAGAAAAACACAAGTTCTACCCCTAGTCTTTCAAAACCAAGGATTTAAAGACAACCACCAAACATTTTCTTAAATTTAAAGTGGGATTTTTTTCCCCAGTTTCCTGTGTTTAGGGGTTCCAGGTTTTTTTTTTCTGATTATTTCAGATTGGCTTTATACTGTTTTTTAAAGCATAAAGACCACAAACCTGAAAATACTCAACTTGAGGGTAAAAAGGGCAGAAAATTAGAAGCTTCTGGTGAAAGAGAGGTTAGGATAAACACTGCTGTGCAACCATGATGGTATCAGTTATTGTGATTCCTTTCACCATATATAGCTTTTCTTTCCTCCAAGTGAGGCTTTGTAATACAAACATCACGTTCACTTTTCTTTATCTATTAAGGAATTATGTTTATGATGCACAATTGTCCCTAATTAGTTACTCAAGAAGAAAATGATGCAAGGATTCCTGTTTATCCAGTCTGAAAAAGATAAAGGAGTTGAATCTCTAAAGGCGTTCATCTCTTCAGTGTTAGATCACAGCACTCTTCCTACTCAATTATTACAGAAGATTGTAATCACTGCAGTAGAAAGTTATCCATCAAGACAGTATTTTCATGAGATTGACAGACACTTGAGAAAGGATTAAAAAAAATGAAATCACATGGGACAAAAGGGCCATGTTTGTATGTCTGTGTATCTCTTAAGATGCTCTCCCAGAGAAAGTGCCAAGTGTGAGCTCTGTTAGACAAGGCTAGATGAGATTAAAACCTCTCTTTCTCTAACACCTACTATTTTTAAATAACTAGAGCCAAAGTCTACCCTCACTCATGGTCAGTGGGATTCCACAGAAGATGTCAGAACAGAATACAATTTACTAAAGAGATTTTAGCAAAGAAGGATAAAAATCCAGAGCAAACAAAGAGGTTAAATATTTTTAACTTGGGTAAAACTTATTAAGAAAGAAATAAGTAAAATCTGTCTTGAAGGTGAAAATATAGAAAGGAAAAAAGAAATGAGAGAAACAGAGTTGTGTGATAAAGGATTATGTCAAGCAACAGCTCTTAAGATTTATGTTTGCCACTGTGAGTGGGTTGAATTGGGTGAGGCTGAAGGTGCATCTTCAAAAGCATCTGAAATCTTCCAAACACCACCACTGCTTGTTCACAAGAGGACTTTCTCTCTCGTGGAAGTTTTAAGTTGGTTTCTTTACTCGCTCAGAAAGGCAATGGCTAATTCCCTATCATGCTGAGTATGTTAGAGTGCAAAAGATGAAATTGTTTGTTTTTTTTTTCCCTAACCAGAAGGCATAATTTCTTTGGGGAGGCTTGAAGGAATTCAGAATATTTTATAGTGGTTTTGATATTTCAGACAAGATGACAAAATGATACCTTGTGAAAGGGCTTCAACAATGGCTAAAACAAAAGTATAACAGAGAAACAAACTCACATTTGGTATTTTAGCACATCTTATTCTTGGAGTCTTCAGCCAGCACTGATTATTAACATTATCTTCCATTACTCACCTCATTAAGCAGTGCCTTCATCAGTGTTTTAAGAGCCTTTTGTTTTCTCAAAGGTTATTTGGAGAGAAAGCCTGCAGAAAATTCTACACATGCTAGAAGAAACCCTGGTATATGCTGACCATGCCCTTCTAAATATGAACTCTAGTTAGAGAAACACAGAGGCCTCTTCATGCTCTACATTACGTGGACTCTCTGTGACCTCCAAACACCCTGATTTTCCCTGGCTTACCACATAATAGTCATGTAATACTAACCTTGATGGACTACATATGAATAAGAAGCTATTTTGAGGTTGTAAGTGCTTCAAATTGTAAGGTTCCCAGTACACCACTCCACAGTTAGCTTGGGATGAGAATAATTAACTCAATGTAAGCTGTATGCAGTTATCTTTATAAAAGCCCAATCTGTCCGCAGACAGCATTCTCCCCTCTGAGGAGGCAGTCTTGGAAAAAAGCAAAAGAACCAACTCATTACCTTAGTAATGAGTTTCATTAATGTGGCTGCTAAAGCTACATTGCTGTCACTTGGCAATGATGCGAACCATGATCTTTAGATGCTCTGAGATCTCCCTGGCACTTTCTGGCCAGGCAGGGACACCTGGGTGATGCGTGAATATCCAGGACAAGCCAAAGCTAGATACCTGCACAGACACAGAGAAAAGAAGATGTCTGTTTATTTTATACTCCTTGTATTTATCTGTAGGACAGTTTCAACAGAAAAACCCACCAGGGGCAAGGCAAACAAAACTAGATAGTGCTATTGGCCTGTGCTTTCTCCAGAGGAGCTGGTATGTGCAAGTCACTCAAGTGATTCTCAGCTCTACAAAAATCCCTGTAAATCTTAAAATATTGCAGGAAGACATCAATAGTAGGGAGAAATTTCCAGACATTTCTCTTCCCTGCAGCATTAGTGTATGTTTCCACCAGCACCCAGGCAGTCCAGTGGCCACCAGAACCGTGTCAGTCTTGCTCCCCCCACCTTGGGCTGCCCCATAAAAACACAGAGTGGGTGCCTCTCCCAGAAAGCCAGGCAATACCCCAGCACTCCCTGGGGCAGGAGGGCTGGATTCCTCCTGCCTCCCTGAAAGTCTGGAGATTGTAGGAAAGCTAGAACACGTCAAGTGATCCCTGCTCCCTCTCTAAGGCCAGCAGTTTCCAATCAGCGGTGGATGCTGTTGTTTAGACACCATCTGTTGCAACAGCTGCTGGTGGCTTTCCAACCAGCTCTTTAGCACAGGTCTAAAATGAGATTGCTCCCAGTCAACCACCTCTCCTTATCTAACCTTGACGAGGGAGGCTGAAGATCATGGTCACTTCGGTCTTCTTCCTCAGGACCTGCAGTGGCACTCACCACTGTAAATGAAAGTATCCCTTAGGGACTGGCAGAAATGGTTACCAGAGCCCTACTGAGAATGCCTGCAGGTGTGGTGTGGTATGATTGGAGCAGGATGGGGATACAGATATCTTCTGCCTAACAGCCCCCTCACCACCAGGTGCATTTACCTTGATGGAGCAAATGGCCCAGCATCGTGAGTGTTATTTGCCAGGGTGACATCTCTAGTACAGAGCAGCCCCATGAGGAGTCTGACCTCTCCAAGAGGCTGAGCAGTTTTCATTAATCCCAAAGAATTTCCCTCTCTTGCTAAAGCCCACACTGCAGAAACCACAGCAAGCACAGCCCTGCTCGCTCCTGGTGCAGTAGAGACTCTCCTTGAGTGTTTGCTTGGTATGTCCCTGCACACCACCTCTAAAACACATGGACATCAGAGTGCATTAGACCCATTATCTAAAAAACAAGTCTCTTAGCTTAATATTTTACTCCTGCCCTTGGCTTTGCAGCACTTTTTCAGTGGTGTTTATTTTCCTAGCAGGACTCCTGTGCAATTTTTATAAAGTTTACAAGCAGCGTCATCAGTCTGCCCTGGTTTTGACAGTTCCATACAATCAATACTTTAATGGAAACTGCATTCAAAGTCACTTTCAGCAACACATTTTTACTTTTTTTTTTTTTATGCAAATTAAAAAAACAAAACAAAAAACTTTTTCTGATTACCTCCTTGTTCAAAAGACTTTTTCTATGTTGTCATGATTTAGTATTGAAGATTTTCATAGAAATCTGTGGGCAGAATGTCTTAATTATACTGGACCTTGGTTTATACTGTATGACCATATATATGTATATATATATATGACTATCACTGTGTAATACATACATTTGAAAACAGGGAGCTATCAGATATGTAAGACCAGCGAAAAAGAAAAAGGATATGCATCGGAGCAGCAGAGTGCAATCCCTCCCTGTGGCTCCGACTTGTGCCTGCAGCAGTTACCCAACCTTTCTGCACTGCCTTCTGTTTCCTTCTGGCACGTTCAGGTACAGTAACACCCGTACAGTGCTTTTCCCCATATCTTTATATTCTGATTATGCAACTGTGCTGCTTGCATAACCGCATCGCCGATATAAATGTGGGATTTGCCTAGGGATCAACACAGAGCAGCTCCTGTCAGCCCATTACCGAGTTCCAGCCGCCTCGCTTGGAGCGTGGTGACAAGGTGGGTGCTGTGTCAGTGTGACATGCACCCGCTGCAGGCTGCCTGGGAACGTTTGGCCTAAAATAACGCTTGTATTCATTGCATGAGGTAATGGCACCACCGAAACGAGGTCTCAGGCGGCTTCACTGAAGCACAGACGGCAGAAATCCCCCCAGATGCCAGATGTCCCCTGGCTGGGGGCACTTCCCAGTTCTACCCGGTCTGCGGGGAACCTCCCGACTCCTGCTTTTCCTCGGGGCTTCTACCCGGCTTTCGACACCTGCGCTGCCACCGCCGGGGCTCTGCGCTGGGTAGCACCCCGGGACAGCTGATGTTGATGCCCCCTTTGTGCTTCTTAAAGCTCAGCGGTCCCGCGGGAAGTGGTCCCTTAACCCAGGCCCGCTCGCAGGTCTCTACCGCCAGCCCGGTTCTCCCAGGCCCAGCCCCCCCGCTGCGGCTGCATCAATCATTAAACAGCGGCTCGGGTAGCCAGCGCCTCCCTCCCTGGGAAACCCTACCCGGGACGGCGGGGGCGTCTCTTCTGGCTCCCCGGGAGCACGGGATGCGCCGCCGGTTTCCAGTTACCGCGATGCCGGGTGGTGGGGCGGGAGGAGCCGCGGCGGTGCCGCCACTGCTCGTGCTGCAATGAGTGATGCTGCTGGGGGCGGCGGCGGAGGAGAAGCAGCAGCAGCAGCGCAGAGCCACCACGGCTCCTCCGCCGGCGGCTGCGGGAGCGGCGGCTCTAACTCGCCCGGGCGGCGGCGGCGGGGCGCGGCGGCGGGAGGCGGGCCGGGGGTGGCCGGGGGGCTCGGGGCCGGCGGGGACAGCAGCATGCCGGCGGGTGAGGGGGACAAGGAGGAGGCGGCACCCCCAGCTCGCCCCGCCGCCCTGCTGCGGTGGGACGAGGTGCCCGAGGACTTCGTGGAGTGCTTCATCCTCTCGGGCTACCGGCGGCTGCACTGCTCGGCACAGGAGTGCTTGGCCTCGGTGCTGCAGCCCACCAATGAGACCCTCAACTTCTGGACCCACTTCATTCCACTGCTGCTCTTCCTCAGCCGCTTCGGGAAGCTGCTGCTGCTTCGAGGCGCTGGGGATGTGCCCTTCCACCACCCGGCCCTACTGCCCCTCTGGTGCTACGCCTCAGGGGTGCTGCTCACCTTCGCCATGAGCTGTACGGCCCACCTCTTCAGCTGCCTCTCCCCACGCCTCCGTGCCACCTTCTTCTACTTGGACTACGCCTCCATCAGCTACTATGGCTTTGCCAGCACTGTGGCCTACTCCTACTACCTGCTGCCAGGGCTGAGCCTGCTTGATGCCCGCGCCATGAGCCACTATGTGCAGCAGCAGCTGGGCTGGCAGCTGGACTGCAGCCTGCCCATCGCAGTCTACCGTGTGCTGGTGCTGCCTGTGGCCCTGGCGTTGGCAGTGGGCTGCACAGCCGCGTGCTGCCGCAGCCGTGCTGCCTGCTGCGCCTACCCTTTTGCCGTGCGCACCTTCGTCTTCGCCATGCCACTGAGCATGGCCTGCCCCATCATGCTAGAGAGCCTCTTCTTTGATCTCCGCACCCGCAACCCTACTCTCTTCATCTACTTCTACCGGCGCTACTTTTGGCTGCTGGTGGCCGCCTTCTTCAATGTCAGCAAAATCCCTGAGCGGATACAGCCAGGGCTCTTCGACATCGTGGGGCACAGCCACCAGCTTTTCCATATCTTCACCTTCCTCAGCATCTACGACCAGGTGCACTACGTGGAGGATGGGCTGGCTGAGTTCCTCAAGGCACCCCTGGCTGCTCCCACCTACCTGGGCACTGTGGGGTATATGCTGCTCCTGACAATCTGCCTGGCTGTGGTCGTAAGAAGGTTCCTCAAAGTCGCAGACCTCTGCAAGCAGGACTAGCTGTGTTGGTGACCCTTGGGACAGTGACCACCACACCGGTGACCCTTGGGCTGGAGATCCTCTGGCCGGTGACCTTCAGACTGGCCCCACCATGTCCTGGAGATGTTGTGAAACCTGGGGGAAATGCACCTGTGGAGGAGCCAGGTCCCTTTCTCCGAGGGTTGCTAGAGAAAATGGCCTGCTCGTGCTCTTTAAACTACTAGATTACCAGGGGAAGCAAGCAAACGCTTACTGGTATGTTGCTGCTTAGAGTATAATCTGAAATAATTTAGCTCTGCTACTAGGAAGAATGCATGAACCGTGAATGCCACTTACTAATTTCATAACAATTAGGTTTAAACTAGCTCTGTATATACATATATATTTATATATCTAGCTATATATTATTAGCTACATATATATGTGTATATATATATACAAACACCTGAAGGCACTTGTGCAATGATTACTCATAGACTTTTAATCATCTCCTCTGTGAAATTTCCTAGCAGATTATGCACTGACATTTATCTTCCTCTGTGATACTGTAACAGGCCTTTGCAGCCACATACTGGATTTTAAATGCAAACAAATCAATAGCTAGCTATAGTTTCTAAGGTCTTGCAGTCTTTTCAGCCAGGGAACAATAGATTTAACAGAGAGGAAAACCAGCTGTGAATTATTACAGAATTACCAGTTGATGGAGAGACTTTAATTAGAATAGCAGTGAGGGGTTAGTGTAGCCACTCGGATGCTAAAATAAAATAGAGGGATATGTAAAGTAACTGAACCAGAAAGGGGTCAAGATAGTCTGGAGCAGGGACGGCGAGAAAAGCGCAATGCATAATGGCATGGCTCATCCCCCACCATGTCAGGAACATCTGTTGTGTTAAGGGGCTTGCTAAGGGGCCCCTTGATCTTTCATGGTAAATCACCCCCAAATCAGCCCTTCAGAGTCAAAGTCAGATGCTAGACTTTCTATAACCCCCTGCCAAGCTCAGTGGGAGTTCTCTGGATGTAAAGAGAGTAACTGATGCATGAGATCTCATTCTGCATCTTTTAAAGAATTACATGGAACTCATTTCTGCTGTTCTTTAATTAGAGTACTGTCAGATTTACCATCCTAAAATCAGTTGCAGAATAAGATACTGCTGAATCTGAGATCAGAGGATAAAATCTGTTTCTACAAAGACTGGATACCGGCACTTTATCATCATTCCCCATCTCTTCCTGTTTGGATCAGTTGTGGCTGCAACTGGCTGTTTTGAAGTCCTCATTCACAGGCTTTGGGAGAGTTCAAGGAAAATCCTTAGATATTTTTCCAAAGCAGTATCTTTTCACAGCAACCCCAGTATTAGCCTTGTCACATGACAAACAACTAACTGTAGGTTGAACTTATTCTCTGTATAGAGAGATGTGCAGATTTTGAACAGATGCGTTTTGATTTTGTCTAACAGTACAAGTATGCAATAATATTATGTAGGGGGGGTTACAGTTTGAAGTTCAGGCAAGAAACTGCTTGTATACCCCATTTTTAAAAAGAAGGGTGGTGCTTCCTTAGGAAGCACCGGTGTCAGTGCACAATAGGGTAGTGACTCTTTAACTCGCCCTCTTCACCCGTGTTGTGGAAATACATTCCTGCTTGGGACTTTCCTATTTTCATGGATATGGCATCTGAACCCCAAGAAAACGTTTTGAGTCCAGTTCCATAAGCCTCTGTAAGACAAAGTCCCCTTTGTTTATAATGGGAATACAGGAAGGACTATAGCTAGGGATTATCAGGTCAAATACTTAATATGGGTCAGAATCACCACAAGAACCAATAATTGATATGCACTGTACCAATGTCAGCTTTGTGAAAATTTCCTCATGAAAGTGCATAAGCAAAAAGAAAATCAAACCCACTTCATTTTATTTTGTATCTCAACCCATTTTAATTACAATGGTTTGGGGTTTTCTGATTCCCAGTGAATGATGAGAATGGCCTAACAAAAATATGTATGCTTTGCCAGCCACAATTCTGGTAGTATATTATTTGTGGTGGGGTCACATGTGGTGTCTTAAAGAGATTGGATTGAATTTTCTAAAAAAACAGTTCCCAAACTGTGGCCTCTTGAGTTATCACTGATGGGCCATAAAAACCAGCATGGCCCCATGTGGCTGTTCGTGTTCTGTTTTCATTTGCCAACATGCATTAAAAGAAAATGAAAACTACATGAAGTATTTTTCATTTTGCATATTTTCATTAACTTTTGTCATAAGTGCAGCATTGCTTTATTCAGCTGCCAATAAGGTAGAAAATTATCTGCACCACTAGGAGAGGAGGCTGGTTTACAACACTGTTATGCTTTGAAATGTGCTTTATAAAGAGAAAAAAAAACCTGGAAACTTATAATAGAAAGCAAATGGATCAAGACCTGCAATGATATCAGCCTATGAATTTCCACAACTGCAAAAAGAGGCCGAAATCTTTGAGATGTGCTGTATTCAGGTTAAAATAATAGAGGCATAGTAGTTAGAGGCCAATGACTCATCCAAGTTTCAAAACTAATTATGCAGAAGGGGTTTGCCTGGGAGATGCCACTAGCATGTCCAACCGGCAATTAAAAACTAAGAAAGAAATCAGGAAGGCCAGGGACAGCAAATCTCAGCACTAGAAGACAGCTCAGAAACAAGCAACAGTAAAAGCCAAACGTAAGAAGGCTTTTAAAGCATGCTGTATAATGACTTATATTTGTGCTTGTCAGTCACAACGTAGAGGACATCTCAAGAAGCAATGTCAAAAAAAGCTGTTACTAACTTGTAAAAATACATTTGGTATTTGCAGTTAGGCCACACAGGGTCGTCTATATATATCTCAACGACAGATAACAGTATAAAGGTTGGATTGAAACCAACTGCAATTTTACTGGAATATTACTGCTGTTGTAAGAGTTCCCATGCTGCAAATTTGGTACCTGGCTCTGATAGTAAGAATATTGCCTCATTTAAAAGTTTTTATTGGCAAAATGTTGAGGCACATGTATGGGCCTGAGCACTTACTAGAATTATTTGTAAATGCTGGTTGCAAGAACTGGTCTCCAAGCCACTGTAAGCAGATTATATGAATCAGGAGTGAATGGGTACAGGGAGATGCGATTAGATTTTAAGAGTTCTAATTAATTATGTTTATTCATTTGTCTGTTTGTTTAAAATGTGGTTACAAATTAAAAAGTTACAGTAAGTGTGGAGAGTACCTAGGGAAATGCCACCTGAGTGTCTGTGTTTATTCAGTGAAGGACATGCATGTAGATAAATGCTGTTTGCCGTGTCCCATAGCCAGTCTCCATAAATATGGACGGAACAAAACTGAATTAAAGACGTTAAAAGTGGAACAACATAGCTATAATTGTAGCACTTGAATTTGCTCATGTAGAAGTGAATGTCATAATTTGTGTAGCTTTTGAAGGAGTGGGATCTCTTTATGATGTGAAAGCACACATAAGCATCCATAAGCCCACATCCATAAGCATGTCCAGCGCTTAGACAGGAGGTCTAACCTGCAGACTAGATGCATAAGGACATCCTAGAAAACAACCGTGTTTACATAAGTACCTGTCATAATGTTTTTATTGCCTGGGTACCTGCCATGACGTCTACACTGTGGACCCCAGAGCTCATCTTTAAAACCAAAAAGGCTTTTCAGGCCTTTTGTGGCAGAATCTGTGCGGGGATGGGGGAATTAGTTGAGGACTGGAGCACAACAGGGTGGCCTAGAAATGCTTACGTGTCTTTCTGTCTTGGGCCAACACTGACCTTCAGACTGACATACCTGTGCTCACGTGAACTGACTGTTGATGGGAGCAGTTTCTAGAGTGTTGGTGGCACAGACACTTCCATTGCAATCAGCCTGTGCCTAACCTGCAGTCTACACATTGGCATATGTTCAATAAGCCTAGCTCTGGGCACTTCCCAGTAAGGTGTAAGCTTCAAGCTCACCTTCGTGCAAGATTGATATGCCTGGTCTGTAGTAATTATCCTGTATTCTGTGGTGATACACTATTTCCTCTTCTGCAGTGTATTCGTTTGAATGTCACTATCCAGGATATCTGTGTAGCTCTGAGCTGCTTTGTTAGCAAGACTGGAGTCTGCAGTCTGGAAACAAAGGGAAAGGTTTCATCTGCATGCTGCACTTGTAGAAATTTAGCAATTAGAAGCAGAAACTCATTTGGGTTTGCTAAAATGATAGCTTTGCTTAATCGTCCAAGTGTTGTGCTTATTATTTATTTTCTGAATCCAGCTACTATGTCAGGTTTTTGTCAACAGTGCACCTGCAGAAAATGACAGTATGAAAGTTTTACTTAATGTTTAAGTAATCTCTCCGAAGCAGCACATTCATGAAGTATTATTGCACTAAACTCAGTTGATTACCATCCACATGCCTTACAGAAGCAAATCATACCTGTAGTAATTGCCCAGATTATACTGTTTCTCATTGCCTATGAGAGTAAAAATGACAAAGTGGCCGGTAACAAGCTGAGGAGTCAGGCACTACTGCGTTCTTGTTCCTGCTTTGCCACTACTTGTTCTGTAATCTAGGGCAAGTTGTTTAAACTGTGTTCATTTTGAATGAATTTAATTCATGTAAAACACTGGAATTGTACCAGGGTTGAATTTGACCCTCTGTGTCTCAGTTTCCACATCTGTAAGATGGGGAGAATATACCTTACCTACCTCGCAGGGTTGCTCTAAAGACTAGCTAATGTTTGTAAAGCACTTAAAAATGCAAAGACCCTCCTAGGTGCTAAGCAGAAACGTTACTGAACTCCGGCAGAGAGAATGTTGGTTTTTTCCATAGCTTCTTATCTCACAGGGACAGAAATATGAACTTTTCTTGATCACAAACTCTTGGAAGAAACCTCTTAGGAGGTTCACATCCTATGTCCTCTGGAGCTGATGGCAAAACTTCCACTGGCTTCAAGCGGGTGGCAATCAAGACCTAAGAAGTAGTAAACAGGCTGACTAAATGCTTAAGGGACAGGAGTAGATAGAAAACATACATGAGTTAAGTACTCTTCAGAAATTCTCACTAGTGACATGTACCAAGAAACACCGTAATGCTGACACAAGGCCTTGTTATTCATTTAGCCATGGATTGTATTCCAGTTACCATGAAACTATGGAGCAAGATTTCCCATCAGGCTCTGTAAGACTATGATTATGTCTCAATTTCCATTGGGAATTTCAACCTACTTCAAGCTACTTCTTATCAGAGT